GCTTAAGTTTGCGTATAAATCGCAAGCAATTGAAAAAGGGGGGGGGGGTCGACAAGTTTTCCGACAAAATTCAGACTATACACCTAGCTATACATTTGCTGGAAAATGTATATTTTGACCAATTTTGAACATTTGAAAATGTCTTTGATCATATTCCTCTCAATAAATGTGCAACATTGACAGCTAAAAATGTTCTGGTGATAATTTTTATCAATAAATTCATTCCGTGTTCATGAGTGTTTCAGATTGAAGATTGGCTGTTGTTGACTTTGATTTTATTTGTTAGAAGTTAAAGTGCACTAAGAAAATAAGACGTTATTTTTTTATTGCTTCAATAATATAATTCCATATTGATAACATATTTTTTAAAATTATGAATAAAAGATCTTAAAAACAACTAAATATTCTGTCTGAACTGTTTTTAGTATATTTCTTTTTTCCCCTCATATTCATAAGCGATTTATAAATTTACGATTTTTTAGAAAGGATTTTATCAGAAGTACATTCAATGGCATGCTGATAGGAATAAAATATCCACTGTACTGGTGTGTTCGGTGAAACGGAATACTGAAAATAATTAAGGTTTTGCATTTAACACCATATCTTGCGCACTGCACACTCAAAGCACCATATTTGTCATCAATATTTCCGAAAAATTAGTTTTCCTCTCTAAGTGGATTAGTTGAAAACACAGTCTCTATGTGTCCTATATGTACATACAGCTTTACATATTAATATTTTTTATCCATGTTTACAAGTATAGATTGCAACACGACTATAGACAGTCCATGAATGCATTCTAGTCTGTTACTAATTGATACAGAGATGTGAAAATCAACATCATTGATAGCTTTCTGCATGGTGCAAGGGTGATAATATCAGAAAGACTTGTTTTTAGTTACATTGTCTGAAGTAAGGGTCTAAAAGAAGAAATATTAGTTAATATGGATATTAATTTTATAGAACATAAGTATATCGTAAATCAATTTTTATGCGAAATTTTCTACTAAATAACTTAATTTCAGTTTGAGTTTTAAATACTTATTAAAATCCCATCTGAGTTTTGAAAATATGTATATATTCAATCACTATATTACATGACATATGCTGAATCTTTTTTAAGATATCTGCATCAAAGATGTTTTTTTTTTAATAACTTCTTTGAATTAACACTGCAGCAACTGTTAAATATATGTAGCTAGGTAGTGCAGACTCAAATTATGCAAATAATGGTTCAGGGAATGGGACCACAAAACGAGATGAAAGGTTTACATAGATTATGTAAAAATCAAGTTTAAACAAGAGGTTCTGTGAGGAAGCTCACAAAATAATCAGGACAGACCCTCAGATCATAAGCAATGTCTGTATCAAGTATGAGCTTCCAGTTATTCTCCATTACAAAGATATAATTTGAACAAGGATTTTATACTTTTCTGCCAGTAACCTCGAACTTGTGAGAATGACCTAGAATCAAGGTCAGGACACTCCCCCCCCCCCCCCCCCCCAAATCATAGGCAATCTCTATACCAAGCATGGGCTTCGACTGATCTTCCATTACAAAGTCAAAGACAGGAATTGTATACTTTTTTCTGCCATTGACTTGCTGGAATGACCTTGGGTCAAAATATGGACATACCTTTGGGTGACAAACAATCTCTGTATCAAGTATGAGCTTCCAGTGATTTTCCATTACAAAACTATGGCCTGCACATTTTTTCTCCAGTGACCTTGAACTTGCCAGAATGACCTTGGATCAAGGTCACTACTTATCCCCTAATCATAAGCAATATCTGCACTAAGTATAAGCTTCCAGTGTTTTCTCCATAACAACAAAGTTAAAGCCTAGACAAGATTGCACGACATACAAACAGACAGACAGATGGACAAGGGGATTGCTATGTACACCCCTAAACTTTTATATACAGGAGGTTTAAACAAGAGGCCCATGGGCAAAATCGCTCACCTGAGTGACTTTGGCCATGCAGTTCTTTACCAGATTTCCCCACTTGTAATACCTATTGCGGCCCCGCCCTACCCTCGTGGATCATGAGTTGAACAATTTAGAATTTACACTACCCCAGGATGCTTCCACATAAGTTTCAGCTTCTCTGGCTCAGTTGTTCTTGAGAAGAAGATTTTTCTTATATATTTCAATGTAAAACTTGGATTCCCTATTGTGGCCCCGCCCTACCCCCAGGGGTCATGATTTGAACAATTTAGAATCTACACTACCCCAGGATGCTTTCACATAAGTTTCAGCTTTTCTGGCTCAGTGGTTCTTGAGAAGAAGATTTTTAAAGATTTTTCTAATATATTTCAATGTAAAACTTGGATTCCCTATTGTGGCCCCGCCCTACCACCGGGGGTCATGATTTTAACAACTTAGAATTTACATTACCCCAGAATGCTTCCACGCAAGTTTCAGATTTTTTGGCCCAGTGGTTCTTGAGAAGAAGATTTTTTAATGACCCCACCCTATTTTAGTCTTTTCTCGATTATCTCCCCTTGTAAGGGGACTTGGCCCTTTATTTTAACAATTTAAACTCCCCTTCACCCAAGGATACTTTGTACCAGGTTTGGCTAAAATTGGTCCAGTGGTTCGTGAGAAGAAGTTGAAAATGTGAAAAGTTTACAGACAGATGGACGGACGACGGACAACGGGTGATCAGAAAAGCTCACTTGAGCTTTCAGCTCAGGTGAGCTAAAAATATTGCAAGTTTGGAAATTTCTCGAAATTCAAATTGCCTACATGCCAATTTTTTTTCTTTAGATCACAAACTTGATTATGCTAAATAGGATAAATTTAGCAAAAAGCCAGTTTTTTTTTCTTTTGGTTTACAATCCCACCGACCCTAATTTTCATCAATCATGAAAATAAGAATAATGTCTTTGTTCCGACACTTTTTTCTGGATTTTTCTCAGCTGAACTGGGGATTTTAAAATTTGGAATGCATCTTAGTCAAATAAGCGCTTATCAATACATGAGACACAAACGTTTTAATAGGTGACCATAAATAAACATGTGCAAACCAAAAATGGCGGTTCTATCATACAAAAGGTAATTCCTCACTGAAAGCAATGACACATAGTTAAGGAGGCTGGGGGGTCAACAAATTAACCATCAGATATAACTTAATTTTTTAGATATGATATCTTAAGCTATCAACTATCATTTGGCAAACAAAAATTTCATACATTTTAGTTTTAAAATTTGATCATTTTTGTATATCTTTACATGGAGCTCTTCTTATAAAGGAGATCAATATAGTCTGAAAATGGCCACAACCACCCAGCCCTCTTAAAGAACTTTTTCTGCATGGAAAAGTGAATAAAATCTTGGATGCATGGTGCCTTTCTCCAATTGAATTGTCTCAACTGGCTAAATTCAAACTGTAATATTGGAGAGTGCATGCCCAACACTCACCTAGCAGATAAACCTACAGATAATAGGCCAATTTTGATGTTGATACATTTTGGTTGAAGTAAAGCCAACTGGTATTTCACTGGATCAATTCGAATATGTGTAAAATATTTGTTTGTTAATTTATGGAATTCATTTTAAAATACATTTGCAAATTTGATACTCAATCGAGATCAAAGCCCTCTGCAAGTAAATAATTAGCACTGCATTAAAAACAGAATACAAATGAATATATTAAATACAAAATAATTTGTATTTAAAAAAATACTGCCATTTTGGTCCTAACATACACATGAGGGTGGCTGCAGAGGTTTCCTCCTCTTTTTTAAGATATATTTTTGTGTGTTTTTTTTTTACTTCTTAATTTCAAGTCTCCTTTCTAACATAAAACCAGAGGAGAGTCGAGACTATGACTTGCTTCTCCGTCAGTCTGTTTATCTGTCCGTACAGAACACAGGCAAAAATTATTTTAATTACTTGAAATTAATCATTTGCTATGTTTACATTTCAACACACAGGCTTTTCTCGTCGTCATAATTTTAAAAATAATGTTTGAATATTTCAATCTATTAAACAAATGACAAGAGGCCCATGGGCCACATCGCTCACCTGAGCACATTGGCTAGGGAAAAAAAGCAAAAATCAGTTTAGCATTGAAAAGTTAACAAGGGGGAGGGGGGTGAATTTTAAACTACCTGATGATGCTTTCATATCAATATAACAAATGGCATTGCTGTTCTTGAGCAGCAGATTTTTTCACATATATTCATTTGTAAAACTTTGATCACCCATTGTGGCCCCACCCTTCCCCTGGGGTCCCTCAATTGAACAAATTTAATTCTACACTACCCAAGTTTGCCTCCATATCAATTTTACTAATCATGACTGTGCTGTTCTTGAGAAAAAGATTTTTTCCTGTATATTCTATGTAAAAGTTTGACCCCCATTGTGGCCCCACCCTACCCCCATGGGGTCATGATTTGAACAAATTTGAATCTACACTACCTGAGGATGCTTTCATATAAATATGACCAATCATGGCTTTGCTGTTCTTGAGAAGAAGATTTTTAAAGATTTTTTCCTATATATTTCTATGTAAAAATTTGATCCCCCATTGTGGCCCCACCCTACCCCCGGGGGTCATGATTTGAACAAATTTGAATCTACACTACCTGAGGATCTTTCCACATAAGTTTCATATTTCATGGCCCGGTGGTTCTTGAGAAGAAGATTTTTAAATGATGCCATTATTTTTTCACTAATTCCTAATTATCTCCCCTTGAAAGAGGTCTTGGCCCTTCATTTGAACAAACTTGAATCCCCATTATCCAAGGATACTTTGTGGCAAGTTTGGTTGAATTTGGCCCAGTGGTTCTTGAGAAGAAGTCGAAAATGTGAAAAGTTTAGAGACGGACGGACAGACGGACGACGGGCAAAATGTGATGAGATAAGCTCACTTGAGCCTTTGGCTCAGGTGAGCTAATAAATGGATGTTTATTGTTGGTGAACAAAATTACATTCGGATGTGTAAAATCCGGGCCTACCTTTAAAGGAATCTTGACATTTTACAGTGTCTTACCTTTGTTAGTCCACACGGAGAAGATTGATCCTTCTTGATTATCTTTCTCTTTACTGACAACATCTTCAAACCTCTTAGTCATGTCCAATACAAGGATGAAGAAGGCCTTTGGTGTTACGTAAATTTGGTGACAAGCATAATACGCTAACTGGCCAGCAAAATCCAGCATGCTTACCGTTGGTAACTTCTCCTTATCAGACAAGATTTTCTGAAAAATTTCATCTTTCACCAAAGCTGGAGCTTCTGAGGAGAGAAGACTGGCCATTACCTCTACTGTAGTCTCTTCTTCTGTGCCCTCAGTTGGTGAACTAGACATTTCCACATTCTCTTCTTTCTTTTCTTCTCGGCTATAAACTACTTCAGTGATTTTATCAGTACTTCCTAGTTCCAAATTGTCTTCTTTCCCATTTGTATCGGAGCTGTCAACTGCATTGTTCGGGTCTGGTTTCAAATCTGCAGCGTTTATCCTGATAAATGTCTTCAATGGTGAGTCATCATCAGTCACTGTAAAAAAGGAATGTTGTTATTTGGTAAATGTTTTCATTTTAATCACATCATAGAGTAATTATATATGTCTATTTTATCACAATTGAGGATTGACAACAAACATTCTACTGATCGCATTATATCTTATGTCTGTATATATGTGTTCATTATTTAAACAATAAAATTCTTTATTTTATGACGATGATTGAATAATTTCCAGCTTTCTGGTTGGCTGCTCCAGATCAAACATTGTAAAAACTAGAAATATGTCCATAGGACATGAACAGTCTTCACGAAACTAAATGGTCCAAAGACCGACGCAGTCATACACAGTCAAAATACATTTAAACTGTCTTGCGTGCATTAATTTTATTAATATATTAAATAAAAAGATTAAGCATGCGTTGGTGTATCGTACTATTATACATAAGAGGGACATAATACGGTATATATACTAACCTTGGACGTAACAACCGATAACAAGAGGCCCATGGGCCACATCGCTCACCTGAGCACATTGGCTAGGAAAGCACAAATCAGTTCAGTATTGAAAAGATTTCGGGGTGGGGTTGGAGGGGGGGGGGCTTGAATTTTAAACTTCCTTCCATGTCAATTTAACATATGGCTTTGTTGTACTTAAAAAGATTTTTAAAAATTTTCCAATTTATTCCTTTGTAAAAATTTGATCCCCCATTGTGGCTCCTCCCTCCTCCCTATCCCAGGGGTCATGATTTGAACAAACTTGAATCTACACTATCTGAGGATGCTTCCATATCAATATGACTAAACAAGGTTTTTCTGTTCTTGAGAAGAAATATTTTTCTATATGTTCTTACGTAAAACTTTCGATCCCTCACTGGGCCTCACCCTACCCCCACAAGGGCAGATCCAGGGCCATTGCGCCCCCCATTTGATTTTTTTAATGTAGAACTTATATGTCCATTATCCTAAAATCAAGGAAAAAACATCTCTTCTTCATAAGAATTCGTCAGCTTCCCAGACCCCCACCAAGGTCTTGCTCTAGACCCACTGGGGGCTTCAATGCAATGCAGCCCCACACCCACTGCCTCTACTGTTCCCCCCACCCCTCCCCCAGTTACGAAATTCTTGGAGCCACCACTGCCCCGGGGGTAATCATTTGAAGAAATAAAATTGAATTTACACTACCTGAGGATGTTTCCATATCAAAATGACTAAACATGATTTTCAGTTCTTGAGAAGAAGATATTTTCCTATATGTTCCTATGTAAAATTTTCAATCCCCCATTGGGCCCCACCCTACCCCCAGGCTTCATCATTTGAACAAAATTGAATTTACACTACCTGAGGATGCTTCCATATCAAAATGACTTATCATGGCTTTGCAGTTCTTCAGAAGAAGAAATTTTCCTATATATTTCTATGTAAAACTTTGATCCTCCATTTGGCCCCACCCTTACCCCGGGGTCATGATTTGAAAAAAATTGAATCTACACTACCCGAGGATGCTTTCATATAAATATAACTCATCATGGCTTTGCTGTTCTTGAAAAGAAGATTTTTAAAGGTTTTTCCTATATATTTCTATATAAAACTTTGATCCTCCATTGTGGCCCCGCCCTTCCCCGGGGGGTCATGATTTGAACAAACTTGAATCTTCACTACCTGAGGATGCTTTCATATAAATATGACCAATCATGGCTGTGCTGTTCTTGAGAAGAAGATTTTTAAAGGTTTTTCCTATATATTGCTATGTAAAATATTGATCCTCCATTGTGGCCCCGCCCTTCCCCCAAAGGTCATGATTTGAACAAACCTGAATCTACACTACCTGAGGATGCTTCCATATAAGTATGACTCATCATGGCTTTGCTTTTCTTGAGAAGATGATTTTTAAAGGTTTTTCCCATATATTTCTTTGTAAAAATTTGATCCTCCATTGTGGCCCCGCCCTACCCCCCGGGGTCATGATTTGAACAAACTTGAATCTACACTACCTGAGGATGCTTCCACATGAGTTTCATCTTTCCTGGCTCTGTTGTTCTTGAGAAGAAGATTTTTAAAACATGCTATTAATTTTTCACTAATTCTTTATTATCTCCCCTTGAAAGAGGGCGTGGCCCTTCATTTGAACAAACTTGAATCCCCTTCACCCAAGGATACTTTCTGGCAAGCTTGGTTGATATTGACCCAGTGGTTCTTGAGAAGAAGTCGAAAATGTGAAAAGTTTACAGACGGACGGACAGACAGACAGACAGACAGACTACAGACAAAATGTGATCAGAAAAGCTCACTTGAGCCTTCGGCTCAGGTGAGCTAAAAAGGGAACTAACTAGTAACTATTAACTAGTAGGTAAAATACGCGAATATCCTATGAACTTACTGAAACATGACAAAGGCCGAAAAATAGCGGCTTTTCTAAAGTTGCCATGTATTAATTTATAATTATGTATTCATTTTTTAAATAAAGAGGGCCAGTAAAATTTTTGTTGGGCCAGTAAAGTTAGAAAGTTCACTGGTCCTACTGGCCAGTAAGTTTGAAAAGATTTGATGAAAACTTCATGAATGCCCCTCCCTGGGTTCATTAGTAAAACAACATAAACATTTGTATTAGTGTATGAAGTTTGATGAAAATATCTTGAATAGTTTCTTTAAAACTGAGTTTAATACACAATGATGGTAAAACCAAATCATTTTGGAGGTCAAGGTAAAAAAAATGGACAGTGTTGATAAATTTTCACCAAATAATGTATCAGTGCATAAGCTTACATAAAAAAAAGAATATTTGGAAAAAGTTTCCTTAAAATTGAGCTAAACACAATTTGAGAAAAAGTGACATCAAGGTCAAAAGGAAAGGTCACGGTCAAAAAACGTTGATGCACTTGAATAGTTCTACATATGTATCAGCATGTGAAGTTTGATGGAATATCTTGATTTGTTTCTTTGAAACTAAGCTAAATAAGAGGCCCATGGGCCACATCACTCACCTGAGCACATTGGCGAGGAAAAAAAGCAAAAATCAGTTCAGTATTGAAAAGTTTACGAGGGGGTGGGGGGGGGGGGGGGGGGGGTTGAATCTCAAACTACCTGATGATGCTTTCATATCCATATAACAAATGGCTTTGCTGTTCTTGAGCACAAGATTTTTTTCCCATATATTCCTTTGTAAAATATTGATCCCCCATTGTGGCCCCACCCTACACACTACCGAAGGGTGCCTCCATACCAAATTGACTAATCATGGCTTTTCTGTTCTTGAAAAAAAGATTTTTTCCGAAATATTACTCTGTAAACTTTGATCACCCATTGTGGCCCCACCCTACCCCCATGGGGTCATGATTTGAACAAACTTGAATCTACACTACCTGGGGATCCTTCCAGATAAATATGACCAATCATGGCTTTGCTGATCTTGAGAAGAAGATTTTTTTCTATATACTCTCTCTCTCTCTCTCTCTCTCTCTCTCTCTCTCTCTCTCTCTCTCTATATATATATATATATATATATATGAGCCCCAATTGTTGCCCCATCTATCCCCGGAAAGGGGGGGGTCATGACTTAAACATGAATCTACACAACCTGAGGATGCTTCCATATAAATATGACCAATCATGGCTTTGCTGTTCTTAAGGAGATTTTTAAAGATTTTTTCCTATATATTTCTATGTAAAAATTTGATCCCCCATTGTGGCCCCACCCTACCCCCGGGGGTCATGATTTGAACAAATTTGAATCTACACTACCTGAGGATCTTTCCACATAAGTTTCATATTTCATGGCCCAGTGGTTCTTGAGAAGAAGATTTTTAAATGATGCCATAATTTTTTTTACTAATTCCTAATTATCTCCCCTTGAAAGAGGGCGTGGCCCTTCATTTGAACAAACTTGAATCCCCATTATCCAAGGATACTTTGTGGCAAGTTTGGTTGAATTTGGCCCAGTGGTTCTTGAGAAGAAGTCGAAAATGTGAAAAGTTAAGAGACGGACAGACAGACGGACGGACGGACAGACGGACGACGGACAAAATGTGATCAGAAAAGCTCACTTGAGCCTTAGGCTCAGTTGAGCTAAAAATTTGAAAGTGAGGTCAAGGTAAATTGAAGGCCAAAGGTCAAAAACATTGATGAAATTGAATAACACTCATCAATATATAAGCATATTAAGTTTGACAAGAGGCCCACGGGCCACAACATTCACCTGAGTCAATATGGCCCTGCTGTTTTTTGTCAGCAGATCTCTTCTCCTATATATTCGTATCTAAAGCTTTGGTTGCCTTTTCTAGGCATACCCTTAGCCTACCCCCAGGTGCCATGTTTTGAATGCAATTGAATCTAAACTTTCTGAGGACGCTTCTATCTTCAAATAACTAATCATGGCTTTGCTGTTCTTAAAAACGGAATTTTAAAGATGTCTGCCACACTACCCTGGGGAAGGGGGGGGGGGGGGGTCATTCATGATTTGAACAAACTTGAATCTACACTACCTGAGGATGCTTCAGTATCAATATGACTAATCATGGCTTTGTTGTTCTAAAACAGAAGATTTTTAAAAATATGTTCTTTTGTAAATCTTTGATCACCCATTATGGCCCCACCCTACTACTGGAGAATGCTTAGAACAAACCTGAATCTAAAATACTTCGGAATGCTTCCATATCACTATGACTAATCATGGTTTACCTGTTCCTGAAAAGATTTTTAAAGAATTTTCCTATATATTCCTATGTAAAACTTTGATCCCCCATTGTGGCCCCACCCTACCCCGGGGGTCATGATTTGAACAAACTTGAATCTACACTACCTGAGGATGATTCCATATCAATATGATTAATCGTGGCTTTGTTGTTCTTGAGAAGAGGATTTTTAAAGATGTTTCCTATATATTCCTTTGTAAAATTTTGATCCCCCATTGTGGCCCCACCCTACCTCCGGGGGTCATGATTTGAACAAACTTGCATCTACACTACCTAAGAATGATTCCATTTCAATATGACCAATTGTGGCCTTATTGTTCTTGAGAAGAAATTTTTTAAAGAATTTTCCAATATATTCCTATGTAAAACTTTGATCCCCCATTGTGGTCCCACCCTAACCCAAGGGGTCATAATTTGAACAAACTTGAATCTACACTACCTCAGGATGATTCCATATCAATATGACTAATTGTGGCTTTGTTGTTCTTGAGAAGAAGATTTTTAAAGATTTTTTTTCTATATATTCCTACGTAAAAATTTGATCCCCCATTGTGACCCAACCCTACACCCGGGGATCATGATTTAAACAAATTTGAATCTACACTATGTAATGAAGATTTCACCTAAGTTTCAACTTTTCCTGCCCAAAGGTTCTTGAGAAGAAGATTTTTAAAAGATGACACCAAATTTTCACTAATTCTTAATTATCTCCCCTTGAAAGAGGGCGTGGCCCTTCATTTGAACAAACATGAACCCCCTTCACCCAAGGATGCTTTGTGGCAAGTTTGGTTGAATTTGGCCCAGTGGTTCTGGAGAAGAAATCGAAAATGTGAAAAGTTTACAGACGGAAGGACGGACAGCTAGACAGACGGACGACGGACAAAATGTGATCAGAAAAGCTCACTTGAGCTTTCAGCTCGGGTGAGCTAATAAAAAATATCTTGAATACCTTCCCTGAAATTTAGCCAAACACAAATTTGATGTCAAGCTCACCTGAGCCAAAAAATCAAGTGGGCATCTCTATTGGAAAAGTGGCCTGCTTCTGTCATTTATCCTATGAATATGTATCAGAAATTATTTTTACCTTCTAAAACTTCATCTTTAACAATGAAGAGATGTTGATGGACTTCCAGTCCCCTGGTGGACTCTGTAACTTCGCTGACATTTTGACGTTTCCCTCTTAATCGCTTCAGCAGTGTTGTTATTCCCGTGGATGACTTTGTAGCTTCACTGATATTTTGACGTTGTCGTCTTAATCGCTTCAGCAGTGTTGTTTTTCCAGCCTCAGCACATCCAACAAGTATTCCTCTGGCATGGGAAACAGTTGTCTTCTCCTTCCTCAGAAACTTCTTCAACTCATCAACTTCGTTTATATCATCACTGTTTGGAGCTAAACAAAATTAAAAATGTTAATATTCTGTTAGTTTCAAATTTTATCTCTCTAATTCGGTTCCAAAATATTATCTGGTTATTTTTGTTGCTTAGTACCCCATCATGCTCATGGGCTAAGAACAAGGTATGAAATTAAACAGTCATTTCAATTTCATTAAACATTCATTTCAATTTCATTTTAACTTGATGGTGAAATGATGTAGAGTTATAGAAAATAGATCTGATCATTCATAATCATTTTTGGTATTTCAATATACATGTATTTGTTTCTTTTGTAAAAAAATAAGAAATTCCTGTGTGTAGTCTACAAATATCATGAATTATAAAGGAAAAACTATTTTTGTAGCAGAAAAATAGTTATTAAATATTTTTTTACTTATGAAATAAGAAATTTAACTAGGCGTCATCTAACCAGCCTTCAGAAATTTTAAAAACAATAAACAATTGTCCAAGAACATAAAAAAATTAAAACAACAAGAGGCCCATGGGCCACATCGCTCACCTGAGCACATTGGCTAGGGAAAAAAGCAAAAATCATTTCAGCATTGAAAAGTTTACCAGTGTGGGGGGGGGGGGGGGGTGGGGGGGTTGAATTTTAAAATACCTGGTGATGCTTTCATATCAATATAACAAATGGCTTTGCTGTTCTTGAGGAAAAGATTTTTTCCCATATATTCATTTGTAAAAATTTGATCCCCCACTGTGGCCCCACCCTACCCCCGGGGGCCTCATTGAAAAAATTTCATTCTACACTACCCCAGGATGCCTTCATATCAATTTGACTAATCATTGCTTTTCTGTTCTTGAGAAAAAGAGTTTTTCCTATATATTCCTCTGTAATCTTTGATCACCCATTGTGGCCCCACCCTACCTCCATGGGGTCATGATTTGAACAAACTTAAATCTACACTACCTGAGGATGCTTCCATATAAATAGGACCAATCATGGCTTTGCTGTTCTTAAGAAGAAGATTTTTTCAAGATATTTTCCTATATATTTCTATGTAAAACTTTGATCCCCCATTGTTGTCCCACCCTACCCCAGGGGGTCATGATTTGAACAAACTTGAATCTACACTACCTGAGGATGCTTCCATATAAATATGACCAAACATGGTTTTGCTGTTCTTAAGAAGAAGATTTTTAAAATATTTTCCTATATATATTTCTATTTAAAACTTTGTTCCCTCATTGTGGCCCAACCCTACCCCCAGGGGTCATAATTTGAACAAATTTGAACCTACACTACCTGAGGATGCTTCCATATAAATATGACCAATCATGGCCTTACTGTTCTTAAGAGGAAGATTTTTATAGTTTTTTCTATATGCTCTTATGAAAAACTTATCCCCCATTGTGGCCCCACCCTACCTCCAGGGGCCCTCATTTGAACAAATTTCATTCTACACTACCTGAGGATGCTTCCATATATCAATATGACTAATCATAGCTTTTGTGTTCTTGAGTAAATGATTTTTTTCCTATATATTCCTCTGTAAACTTTGGTCACCCATTGTGGCCCCGCCCTACCTCCGGGGTCATGATTTGAACAAACTTGAATCTACACTACCTGAGAATCCTTCCATATAAAAATGACCAATCATGGCTTTGCTGATCTTGAGAAGAAGATTTTTAAAGTTTTTTCTATATACTCTTATGAAAAACTTTGATGCCCCATTGTGGCCCCATCCTATCCCCAAAGGTGGGGGGGGGGGGATTCATGATTTCAACAAACTTGAATCTACACTGCCTGAGGATGCTTCCATATAAATATGACCAATCATGGCTTTGCTTTCATAAGAAGAAGATTTTTAAAGATATTTTCCTATATATCTAAATGACCGTTCACGGTAGCTTAGTCAGTAGAGCACTCGCTCCGTGATTGGGAGGTCGTGAGTTCGAATCTCGGCCGCGACAGACCTAAGTCGATAAAAAATACTGTGGAATCATTTAAATTCGTGGGGGTCAATGTTCGTGGGCAAGCAATATTTTATTGTTTCGTTGGGATGTAATTTCGTGGGCAGCTCGTTTATTTGGTCGATTTAATTAATCAGTATGTTGACCAAAAAAAATGTTCGTGGGGATGTATATTCGTGGATAAGGGTGACCCACGAAATCCACGAGCATTGATCCCCCACGAACAATGATGATTCCACAGTAGGTAGCAACTGTTCCTTCGCCATGCGCTCGGCACTTTGGAGTGAAAGTTGCGGGTCTTTCGGATGAGACCTTAAAAACCGAGGCCCCGTGTCACGGCAGGCGTTGGCACGATAAAGATCCCTCACTGCTCAATGGTCCTGAGTGCCGAGTAAAGGTCAAAATTGAAGCCCTTCACCGGTATATGGTGACGTCTCTATGTGAGTGAAAAATTCTCGAATGGGACGTAAAACAACATACAATCAATCAATCATATATATCTAAATGTAAAACTTTGATCCCCCATTGTTGCCCCACCCTACCCACAGAGGTCATGATTTGAAGAAACTTGAATCTACACTACCTGAGGATGCTTCCATATAAATATGACAAAATCATGGCTTTACTGTTCTTAAGAAGAAGATTTTTAAACATATTTTTGTATATATTTTTATGTAAAACTTTGATCCCCCATTGTGGCCCCACCCTACCCCCGGGGGTCATGATTTGAACAAACTTGAATCACACTCCCTGAAGATGCTTCCACATAAATTTCATCCTTCCTGGCCCAGTGGTTCTTGAGAAGAAGATTTATAATGATGCCATTATTTTTTCACTTATTCCTAATTATCTCCCCTTGAAAGAGGCGTGGCCCTTCATTTGAACAAACTTGAATCTCCTTCACCCTAGGATACTTTGTGGCAAGTTTGGTTGAATTTGGCCTAGTGGTTCTTGAGAAGAAGTTGAAAATGTGAAAATTTTACAGACAAACGGACGGACAGACGGACGACGGACAAAATGTGATCAGAAAAGCTCACTTCAGCCTTCGGCTCAGGTGAGCTAAAAAGTTGACACGAAGAAAGGTGAGGAGAGAAAACATTGATTTATGTCATATTTTTGCCCCCCCCCCCCCCCCCAGATCACTTTTATGGTCGACGTAGCACGATACAATGGAAATATTCAATTTCAATGAACATGAGCCAACACAAAATTGTACACCTTATTTTCCAAGATTTTAAAAGCTAAATTGAAAATTAATTTTCATTTGGTTCTTGAGGAGGGTTTTTTTTTTTACTTCTTTACATAATAAATACAGAACAAAAAGGTTTGGTGCGTTAAAAAAGTACTGAAAGAAAATGTTTAAGTAGCATGATATAGTGAGGCACCCCCTCCCCAACCCCAACCCCCCCCCTTTCCCCAGAAAAAAAGTATGTGGAGGGTAGAGGGGTATAACTATATACTTCTGACTTTGGTTTCACTTTTAATCTGCAAAAATTCCATGTAATATACATGTAAAATGTCAACCCAGTACACAGTGTAGATTTACTGAACACCTGCTACAGAAATACACAACATTCTAAGACAGAGCTGTGTTAATATCAATGGTGGCTATATATCTAACTATCAACTTGTACAAATTGTTTGTAGTCAATGTGATGGAATTTTGCTCGAATGGAGTATTTAAAGAACTGCATATCAACTATTGATAAGAACTAGGGCAATTCCCCACCAACCCCCCAATTTCCACCCCCTCGCCCCTGCCCCCACCCCCCATTTTACAACCATTTTATCCATTTCCTGATATTTGTAGTGATCTGTAAAGTTAACCTGCAAACCACCCATTGTATTCATTACCTGACTTTAACAGAGGAATATAAAATCATGTCAACCCAAACAGAAGACAGAATCAATGAGAGTTATTGTACAAATCTTTGACAGTCAAGGAACTGAACACTTTATACTACGTTATACATGATGTAGGACAGAATCTATGTCAGGTCTTATCTGTACAAAATCTGGAGTAGTTTGTTAAAGACAACAAAGTTAACATCTAAAACTAAGTACATATTAAATAATACTAACTAAATCTTAAGTATATTTTCTGAAAATTATATCGTTATTAATTACAACTTATAAATTAATATCCTCATCTTAAAAACATTTCTTGTGAATTAATGAAACAAGTTGTAATTCAATTAACCATGTAATGTAATTACACTTCAAACTATCAGTATGATTATTCCTTAATGTCTTGTAATTACACATAAAACATAACTATAATATATTGTACACACTAGACATTGTACAACAAAACATATAATTATACTTATGTATGACTTACCGGTCAGATTATCCCCTCCATTGATAAGACTGTATATGTACACTGTGTTGTTATACCCAGATCCGACCCAGAGCAGGTTAGTGTTGTCATCATAACTCAGGCCCCATGGTTTGTATCTCCCGTGTTCTGATGTCTCTATCAATGACAGGAATTGTCCGTCTTTATCAATTATCTGTACTGATCGGGTGTTAGCATCACACACCAGGATGTGTGACAGCGCGTCAGTGCAGATTCCCCAAGGTGATAGTTCTGATCCTGATGGAGGTCCTGTGTAGGAGAAGCGATGGTTACCTACATGATCTGTCACCACTACACCAGACCACGCATCAAGGTAAGACTCAATATAGTCAGACACAATAACATCTCCATTGCGGTTCTCTGTGATGTAGAGAGGTTGTCTATATAGTCCCTGACCTTTGTTGTTGTACTGTATGGTCTGTATGTGTTCTCCTGTGTTATTGTAACGGTTTACCTTGCCTGTATTACCTCTATACATCCCGACCAGCAGGTCTCCAGTGGAGGGGGAGCTGTAGACACACTGTGGATACCATGGTGCTGTGTACTTTATTAATGTAGACTTTACTCTGTTCTCTGTAGACAGTTTGTTGATGTTTAACTCCCTGTCTATATAAATTAAATCACCGTCCCTAGTCACTGTGTGTACTCCAGTATAATCACTATCTATACCTGTCAGATGATGTAGTTTATCACCTGCTGTGTTTGTCAAGATGAGATTGTTA